GGGCCCCCGCCCCCCCCGCCCCTGCCCGGGGGGGCTGCCGGCTCGGCCCCGGCTGTGGGGACAGCTCCGCGGGGACAGAGGAGCCGGCCCCGGCAGGGCCAGGGCCAGCGTGGGCAAACAGGATGGTGGCGGACACCGGGATGGTGATGGGCACCGGGATGGTGGCGGGCACTGGGATGGGTGGGCACCAGGATGCTGCCAGACACTGGGATGGGCGGGTACCAGGATGATGGTGGGCAGCGCAGCAGATGGGTACCAGGCTGGATGCTGGCACTGGGACCAGTGGGCACCGGGACTGGTGGGCACTGGGAGGAAGGCAGCGGGCACCAGGAAGGCAAGCACAGGAGGCCCCGGGAGCGATGCCGAGGCAGCCCCGGGGAAGGAGATGCGCTGGGGCACCCATCCCTCCCATCGCTCACCGGCGTCCGAGTCACCCACCTCCTCCACCCTATGCAGCCCCAGCTGCCGGAGTCCTGTTATTTCCGAGCTCCCCTGGGCGTTCCCAGCCCTCGGGGACGGCCTGTGCCAGGCCGGAGAGCCCCACGGCATCCCACAATTTGCCGGCACAGGGAAGAGCAGCCATGCCCGCACCACGCTGTGCCATGAATTATGGAGGCAGGTAGGAGCATCGCCTTGGCCCTGTGCCACCCGCACCCTCCCCTGCCTCCTCCTTCCCCCCTTGGGTGGGTGCCAGCGGGTGGGATGGGTGGGACGGCTCCGGTTTCTGCCAAGTCACGGTGGGATGAGGGGACCTTTGGAACCTGCGCATCACGTGGGCGCCGGGCAGCCCTTAAGGTGCGCCGACGGGCGCGCGGGGAAGGCAGACACGCGCGCCCGCAGCCATGACCGTCCCCATCGCCAAGTCCTTCTACGACCTGAGTGCCACCTCCTTGCAGGGGGAGAAGGTGGACTTCAACGTCTTCCGGGGCCGCGTGGTCCTCATCGAGAACGTGGCGTCCCTCTGAGGCACCACGGTGCGGGACTACACCCAGCTCAACCAGCTACAAGCCCGCTATCCCCGGCGGCTGGTCGTGCTGGGCTTCCCCTGCAACCAATTTGGCTACCAGGTAAGTTGCCAGGGGCCACCGCGGTGCCTGGCACTGGGTGCAAGTAGGGGGGAAACAGGCGGCACGGCCCCGGCTTTCTCCTTCCCCGCCACAGGAGAACGGCAGCAACGAGGAGATCCTCAACAGCCTGAAGTACGTGCGGCCGGGGGGCGGCTTCGAGCCCAACTTCACCCTCTTCCAAAAGTGCCAGGTGAACGGGCAGGACACCCACCCCGTCTTCGCCTACCTGAAGGCTCACCTGCCCGCGCCGGCCGACGAGGCGGCGCACCTGATGGCCGAACCCCGCTTCGTCACCTGGAGCCCAGTACAGCGCTCCGACATCTCCTGGAACTTCGAGAAATTCCTGGTGGGTCCCGAAGGGGAACCTTTCCGTCGCTACAGCCCCCGCATGCCCACCATCCAGCTGGAGCCCGACATCCAGCGTCTCCTCAAGCTGGCCAAGTAGGGCCGGCTCCGGCGTCCCCGCCGGCTGCAGCCCCGCGGGACGGCCCCAGCTCTCCGCCGGGTGACAGTCCCCTCCGAAACTGCCACGGGGAGGGGGCTCGATGGGGGCAGAGGGCCGGGGCCAGCGGGGCAGCGCGGGCCGGCGGCAATAAATGAGCCGGAGGGAGCGTAACCCGCGTCCGCGTGGTTTGTGGGAAGCTGCCGGGGATGAGCACCAGCGCTGCCGGGAAGAAGCAGCCCCAGGTGCCGGATCCAGGAAACGGCAGTGCAAGGGATGGAGCGGTGCCAGGCCGGCAGCGGC